GCGTCCAATTGACTGTGAAAAAATCCTTATGGCATAAACTGGTTTCGGTGGGATAGAAAGGTGAGAATACGCGGAGAGGGAATAATCAAAGTAGACAGACAAATGCGAGAAAAATATATGAACGCGAGGACACACGGATTTTCAAAAACGAAAGTGAATGCCCGCAGGAAAAAAAAAAAATTTCGATGGTAATTACATTCGATAGCAGTGTTCGTAGGACGGGTTTGGCAACTCTTCCTGGTTCAAGAGGTTAAAATAATACGGATAGTAGTAGTCGTATATCGGTAGTACAAAGGAAAAATCGCCGATTTTATTATTGAACGCGTCATTGGCAGGGACGATTGTCGCGGGGTTTTCCACGAATGAAGGGAGCGAGTAATTCGTCATCTCCACAACAGGTGAACCCTGGTGTTGTGACGGATTTCCGGTGTGAGATGATATGAGATCATTTTTGCCTTTGCGAGAAGTCGGACTATAGTTGACCATGTAAGTGTTCACGAACTGATTCTCGCCGATTATCTTTTTTTTGATTCTCACCCCCTTGTAACGATCGTGGTCGATTTTCCTAACCTCTTTGGCGAGCCGAACGTAGATACCTTTTTTCTCTTTACTAATATTATTCCAAATTTTCGTTACGACCCTGGTAAGGAACCGACCATCTCTGATGTCGTCAACGAAACCACCAGAGACAGCCAGAAGATAGATTTTCCTTCGGAAGCACAAAAAGCAATTCATGGAACGCGGTATCTTTTTCACCTCATGTGGTAATGGTTTTAAAAGTTCCTCGGCGGTCATGTTTGGGTTGAAGAGTTCATTTAAATTAAGTTTTTGAATAAAGCTTGTTTCCAAGTACTCCGAGTTCGGCGGACTAGGAGGTGCAGTTTTTGTGCAACTAGAATCCATTTTTTTGTTTTTGTTTTGTTTTTTTTTTTTTTTGAAAGGCAAAAGGGAGAGAGAGAAGAAAGAAAGACGAAAAGAAAAAAATTAAGGAAAAAGATTAAGGAAAAAAAAAAAAAAAAAAAAAAAACAAAAAAAAAAACAAGAAGAGAGTCGTTAAAGATGTCAGAAAATAATAATAAAGAGAAAAGACAATGAGAAGGGAAAAAAAGAAAAATCGAACGTTTTATACTTTAATCGCCCTTACCTAGCGAACCATTTATGGACAAACTTTGAACCTCGACAAGTCATCTCGTATATTGGTGGCATGATGAATGATATTACTCTAGCAGTAGACTAAATGAGCATTCAAATGGATCAAACCTGTAGTGAAGCTACGGAGGCCGAATTGATCGATGGATTTATCCTTTTTTGAGGTTGGCCTTTAAGGAATGCATTTCTTTCTTTCGACCCTATGCCATCTATAGATGAGGGCCAATTGGAAAAAAGAACGTTTGCGTGATCCTTGTTATATCAGATCGAGAAAAATCCCTTCTTTTAATCATACGCACCGGCACATCGGACTATATATGTCGAACTGCTGTAAGCAATAGATAGCAGCTTTGAAAGGGCATCCCTAATAATAATTATATATACAGTATATATATATATATATATATATAAAAGCACCCTTTTGAAAAGGTCGCGATCTACAATAAAAAAAGACATCATTGATTATTGTGAAGGAGACTTGCCGTTTTTGTTTCTTCTTTTCTTCTTTTGTTTGTTTATTGTGCACTACGCAAGAACGGCTCGCCCGATGACTCGTGGCCAATTATTAAATGCGCTGACATTCCTTTCACGTAGACCAAAGAGTTACGCTGATATCGATTGATTTTAAGCAGGTGTCAAGTTTTTTTTTTTTAGAATTCGTCCCTTTCGTGATTTTCTCATCAAGATACTAATTACACCAGCGCAAATTTAGTATAACGATAAATGGTCGCTAATTGGAACGGGCGGGCTCACGTGTCGATTAGGAATTCAAAGGACAATCAAAGAATTCCTTTTCTCCGCAACTTACTTACTTACCTTGTTAAGAAAGAAGCTCTCATTTCTTTTGAGAAAAAAAATGAAGATATCGGTTTTTGCGACACCACTTCCCTTTACAGTGTACCCGACGGGACGATTCTATACTATCACCACACCATTACCATTCTATTATCATTATCATTATTGTTTTTATTGTTATTATATATTACCACTATTGTTATGAACATTATCATTATTCTTAAAGTACTGCTGCTGTATTACTATTAATCTCGATTTGGAAATTTTAAGCACAATGAAAGCACAAAGCATAATTTGATCGGATAATTAAACAAAATAAAACATGAAAACCTCCAAGAGCCTTCCAATTATGACATGTATTATCCGAATAGTTGAATAAGGTGCGGTTCATTCACCCAACCCGTCACCAAACGGGGACAAAGCATCCGTCCAAATCCAGCCCAAGATGTCCCTTCGGAACCGACGCAAATCGTGGAACCTGCCCTTATGCTTGATCATTAAATTAGCCAAAGTGCATACAAGATAAAACTATTGGACATTCCAAACTATAATAATATTGATTTTTTAAAGGTTAGATGCGATATCCTATTTTGGTCTCTTTTGAAATCGAATAATTACGAAAGAAATCTAGGCCTTGATTATGTAACACCGATATATACTGTATAATAGATGTGGGGTGCGTAGGTTCGTAAGACCTCCCAAACCTTCTTCCTCCCTAGATTTCAAGCCACCCTCCCCATAACTTTTTAGAAAAAAAAAAAAGGATGGGACCAAATAGATACCGTGTACGCCGCCTTTGTTTTGCGAGTGGTCAAAATTAAATTAAAAGTAATCGCAATTTGTCTGTCAAGATCGGGTAGGAGAAAGGAAACGGATGCCTTGTGACGCGTGCAAATTAGCCGAATGTAGGCGAAACAAGTTTCCCACATTCAATCTATTTTGTTTAAAATAGGGAACAACAATTAATGTTGAGTTCATTTAATGTAGTATTGTGGTTTGACTCACGGCGATTCGGTCTTACTACATCTGGTTCTTTTCACAAGGCACCCAGAAGTACTTTTATATTTGCATACACTTTGGGCCAGTTCCGAGAACAGGAAATTTATATTGCCCGATAACTAGTCGGTTACCTTTCAGTTAGACAATAGCTTTTTTATTGTGCATGCAGTGCAATCGCATATGTTTATGAGAAAAAACCCCTCCCCCTCCGAAATTTTTTTTTTTTTTTTTTTTTTTTTTTTAATTGAGATTCTCGTGTCAGTATTTATCGTGTGTAATCCCAAACTCATCACGTAGTGTATCACATATTCGATGAATTAAATTAAAGCACAATGACTCAATAATAACAATCGCATAGGTAATATGACTCCGAATATGCGATGAATCCTTGATCCAGATCCGACCATGCCTTTTTTTCTTTCTTACGGCCACCTAGGACATATTAATAAGACCCCTCCAATAATATGACGTCGAATAATTCTTTTTTTTTCTTCCCAACAAAGGGGCCGCGCATATGGGAAATTCGATGTTCCATTCAAACTTCATAAAAATTAGTCACAAATGGCGTGTTCATCAATCACGTGATTGCTTTGTAACTGTTCGAAATTGTGTTTATTTTAATCTTTGATGACCGCCAATTTTGAAGAATTGCATGCAGGCATTTTTAATTGTGAGCCGCGACACAAAAAGCATCAAGGATGACACCGCATGATTAGAAAATCCTCTTCTCTCTTTTTTCACCTTTCACCGTCCAACCTCCCGAGGTGATTATGGAATAATTTTCTTGTTCACCGTGATTTACATGGGTATCTATTCGATAGGTGACATCACATGACCCGTGTTTTCTCCGTATGGTGTGCTTCATTTGCACGAACGATTTGAGTTGCATTTAAGAAAGAAAGTTGGTGTTCATGAGTCGTATGCCGAACATCGCATATCCAAATCTCTTTTGCATTTCAGCGTGTTTCATCCATTTCGTTATTCAAGCTAGCCCAGAGATCGCCAACCGTTACACACGCATACACACACACGTAACAGCCTTCAAATCACATGACAGCATACGGAATAAATCACATGACAGCATACGAAATCATACTTTTATTTATGGATATACAAATTATTATACATTATTGGTGCATTTTGTATTGTACAGTTGGTTATATATAATACACGCTTGTTCATTGTCACGCTTAAAATTGGAAAATATTGCATAATAAATAAAAAAGGGGGGAAAGGTGTGCGTCTGTGGAAAGGGACATCGATTACGCAACAACTCGGGACTCGTGAATAATAATAATTCCTTGTGGAGGAATGACGCGTTAAATCATAAATTGTTTTTTTTTTTTTTTTTTTTTTTTTTTTTTTGGTGAACGTTCCGGATTGCAAATTGTAGACCTGCATGCACATCGTGCATTGTCAAATTTCTTTTTTATTATCGTAATCGTGAGACATATATATGCTTTTTTTTTGTTTGGTTTTTTTTTTTTTTGTTAAACTTCGGAAAAATGACATCATGGTTGCGGGTCAAATTGTGTATTGATATTGTCAAAAACATCGTACGATCCATACAAGAAATGATGAGAGGACGGGAACACTTGTTGTTGGACCTCGTTAAAATCGCAATAATTCACCGGCATCGGCGGACAGTTTACGGCGATGGATGGCACTGATACTGATACAGGAGATGGCAAAGGGTAGGCGTACAATGGCAGGGTGGAGTAGAGATCCGCATCAGGCGCGACGGTTGAAGGAACAATGTTATTCTCGAAATCTTTTGCTGTCTTGTTCGAGAATCGGTCACCGCTCATGCTGTTCTTTTCCGGCCTATATCGATAGTTGGGGTACATTAGGCGATGCATCCTTTTAATCTCTTCAAAGACCCTGTTAATTCTTGCTTTCTCTTCCTGCGTCGCGCTTCTCCATATCAACCCGGCCAGGGCACTGTGCGAGGTTCCGTCTCCAATTGAAATGTTATTATCGTTGGCCACCAAACCGAATATGGTTCGGACAATTATGAAGGGATTTGGAGGCCTCTTGACCTTCGATGGGTCGTTGTTCCTTCTGAGGAGCATGTGGAATAAGAAGTTGCTGTTGTACCTCGTTGAGTTGAAAATGTCATCTCTGTCAATACGGTTGAGAATGTCCATCACTTCTTGACTCGGCGGTTGGCCATTCTTGTGCCTTAATCCTCCCCATTGAGATTGGTAAGGTGCATTTCTAACCATGGTGAGTGTGTATCTCTCAAAAGAACAGGTGGGGAAGAAAGAGGGATGCGAGAGAGGATGGTGTTTTTAGATTGGTGTCGGGTGGTGTTTTCAACGGTTAAAGGAATTGATTGCGGTTTTATTGTGTTTTGGGCTCAATGAGTGTCTTCTCAGATTTGTTCATGATCGGTTCAGGTGCTTCGTGTTTGTTGTACACGAAAAAAAAAAAAACCCTGTTGGCATATGGAACTGCATTACATATTTCACAAGGTTTTTGAAACAAAAGGATTTGTGTAAATGCGTTCAGCCGTCATCTAAAAGGAAATCAAAATTTTCTCATGCTGCAATGATATCATTATCTCGAGGCACCCTTGGTATCACTGACGTACGAGGAACCCGAGTAAAACGCTGGCATGGTGAAATCCCCCTCGGATGTTAATTCTTCGATTATCTTCCGTCATCTTCTTGTTAGGGACATGATTACCGGGAACTTTGGTTGCTTGTGCGTAAGGTGCCGAAGGAAAATAATAAATTTGGGGTTTGATGATCATGAAGAGAGCGTCGCGTTTAAAAAAATTTTACCTAACCATCCAATAATTGACCACCCAGCGTATGCAACTTTATGATTCATTCCATATTTGGGCTAAAAAGAAAACCCCGGAAAATAAGCAATATGTTGATGGTGGGTGCTTGTTTTTGGAACGCGTGGTGATCAGCCGCACGTGCAGCTAGCAAATTCTTTTTCGCTAGCGGTTATCAGTTACTGCATAAAAATATATATTTGAAAAGATGGAGAGGGACCTTTGCTCGAGAAATAGGGTTTGACCATTTTTTTTTTTTAAAAAAAAAAAAATTCATCCGAGGATCAATTTGCGGGTAATAATAATATTATCATCAACATTAGTTAAGCCGAGTATGAGCAAGTGATGATGATCGCACATACGGTATTTTTTCACAGTCAATTGGACGCCTTTAACAACACGGAAATAAGAAATATTAAATAGAAAAAATAAAATAAAATGAATAAAGTAATGGCACATACTGTATATACATGCAGTATAAAGTATATACTGTATATATACGTATATACAGTATATATAGATATATACTGTACATACACTGTATATACAGTATACTGTACGTATATTGTATATTGAATCAAAATCCCATTGATGATATCACATATAATTCAAGTTCTTTTCAACTTCACGCATCATATTACATCCCCTACGAATCACCCTTGACGTCTTCACATATCACAAGGAATAAAGGCGACACAAACTGCCAAAAGGACAGGTCTCGATCGATGAAATAGCCAGAAATTGGGGTCGTGATATCGGAGTTTCCGCATCACCGACTATTGACATTATAAAAACCCCAAATGACTTCATCGCTCGTTGCGACCAAACATTTCTATTTCGTGCGCGCACGTTTTGGTATTTTGAAGGAGACGAGTTGGGACCTAAAAAGGTCTTGATCTTATTTCAAGCACCAAGCCCAGAACTATCCCATGATGCGCGCATTCTCCATTGAGGAAGAAAACGAAAGAAATTTTTTGAACAAGGGGTCTACTACATTTGTCGTGGACTTACTACTGTCTGCCAAATGTATCGAAAATTTTTTGCATTATTCGCAAAGCTTTATTTGTGTTATTGTCGACTTTTAAAAAGAGAATATCTCATCAAAATATATATATACTGTATATATATTGAAACGAAAAAATGCATACAATTGATATTTCACGTAGAAATTTGACAACGGATCGGCTTAAAGAAGGTAAAGGAGGGTTAAACATATTTCTTAAGGCATAGATGAAACCGTTGGGATACCGGGATAAGTCATGAAGTATCCTTAAGGTAAAGGTTGCTCGGTTCTCTCTATTATTTTCATCGGCGTTCAGTTCTGTTGCATTTTCGCTTGTCCGATCTTTCAGTGGGGCGAACGTACGGACGAAACCCAAGTCCTCTGTTCCTCCTCTGCGGGATATATCTGTATCCTGGGAACGCTTTTTCATGTTCTTCTTTCACTTTCCTGGCAAATGTGACAAAGGATTCTTTTCTGGTTTTATCGAGATCCCTCCAAAACTTCGACGATATCTTTGGTATAAGATGCGCCTTTTGATTTCCGGCAATTTTAAATGTGCTGCATATGTCTTCGTACAAACCATCTTTGATCAACTCCTTGCGAAACATAGCTTTGAAAATCAAAAAAGAGTTCATGGGTCTTCCAACCCTCGCCGGCGAGTCCGATTCACACCTCAAATAAGTGGCATCGACATAATCTTTCGGTGAATCCGAATTACTTCTTTCCAAAACTCTATCGAAAATATCTTTACAAATCTGAGGATAACTTGCGAGCACTTCGTCAACTCTCGGGCACGCACTCATCTTGTGTTTTTTTCTTTGCCTTTGTTTAGCACTGATCCTATTGACAGGTGCGTATTTATATAGACAGCCCAGTGTCCCGGAGAAGATAAATGAACTGATCTCTCCTTCCGCGAGAATGGAATCAAAAGTAGTAAATATCTCTTTTTCTTCTTTCTTGTAAAAATCATTTTTCATCATTTTTCCATCATGTTTCTGAGTGTGTGTACCAATGATAACTTCAAGGACCATTTGTAAATGGCAATATACCGTCAGCACGCTGCCGGTGGAAAATTTTTTTTGCATTTTCGGATTTAAACCCCGTCTTAAAATCAAACCTGTTATCCAAGGCACTTCTCTAATTAAGCGTGGCTTATAGATATTTTTACCATGTGTATAGATTTACAATTAACCGCCGGAGAACGATGCATGGATCAGCAGACGATCATCTTTCAACACTCCGATGATGTTTACCCATTCACCTTTTCAATCACTGGATTTTCCGTGAAACTTTGCTACAATTCCATGTGGGGAAGCATTCATACACTGCCGGTTTTCCTGTGTAAAGCGCGCGCTTGACTTTCCAAGATTTTACCAATCTAAGTTTCTCTTTCAATCCCTAACTAGCGTCGTATCGCATTAATTATTTGCGCAAAGAACTTTTATATGGGTTTTGTGTTTTTGTTTTTTTTTGTTTGTTTGTTTTTTTTTTAGTTTTCTTCCCTTTCTTCCTACCACTTCTCTTTCTTTTCAATTCAAGTTGCGGTTCTGGAAACGTAAAAAAGAAATGAATTTATTCCATTCAAAATCTGCAGGAAATATTATAAATGAGTTATTTGACCGATATAATCAATTATATCATTTAAAGGAAAAAAAAAACCTGTACATTAAATGCGCTTAACTGTTAAGGCAATTGATTTGATGTGGATTTACATTAAACATATAAATAATGCAGTGTATGACGGGAATCTTAAAAGAAAATCAAGCGACGAAATAATTTACTTCAAAATTAAGACAGGCCAGAGATTCTATTATTAATAACACGATCGACTTGAACTTTATCATCTGGTTCAGACCAATAATAAAGGACGCTTGAATTAAACAAATTTTGAATATAATCAAGGCAACGAGTCATTGGTTAAAAAAGAAATAAAATCCCACGGCTAAAAAAATGAAAAAATTTGTTCGACAACTATCAATTCGATAATTACCTGTCAACAAATCATAATTATAAAAAGGATTTTAATATTGTCAAAATTATTTTCAGAATTTTCAAATTTTACTATTCACAATGATTCTTCATTATCCAAATCATTTGATTGATCGCATATTTCGTTCCTACTAAAGTAAAGAGCATGAATTTTATCTTTCAAAAAGAAATATATTATGTTATTGTATTAATGCTTATTAACTTTCAATTATCCTTTATATATATGTATATTTTTTAGTCTGCAATCATGTTGTCAAGATATATTTTATTGAGATATTAAATAAATTTAACATTATATGGATTATCATATAACTTTCTTTTTTTTTTTACTCTCTATCAAGCTAGTTATGTGTGCTTTATTGAATATTTGTAAACTCAGCATATAAAATGTAACGCTAAAACTAAATCTCTAACTCACTTGTCTTGATTACAATAATACTATTCAAAGTGTAACTTTAGAAGTAAATTTATTATTCTAATAATAGTTCAGGTGAGAACCTTTTCAACTTTATCTGCAAGTTACCATTACAAACATATAATAACTAATTTGTTTTTTTATTTTCTACCAGATTAATTATGTGTACTTTATTAAACACTTGTAAACTATACATATTTTTTATATGTTCTAATTCTCTAACTAACTATATATGTTAGTATAAAACTTTAAGTATAACTTGAAAGTGATTTGTTATTCCATTAGTAGTTCAGATATTCTTTCGACTATTAATATTATTACCTATATATCGCAAATCACAATTAAAACACTAATCCGGATCAAAATTCTTATCACTTTGTTTAACAGTATATAGTATATAATTCTATTTGTTAAGATTTTAATGAAATTCTAATCTTTTAATTTTAATTTTTATATTTTTAATATGGGTTTGACTTTGTTAGATCTTTTAAAATAGATTGGATTTATTAATTACTTAATTTTGTTTTTTTATAGATATTGGGATATATTTCTATAATATTATTCTTTTATATTTAATATTTGTGACTTTTTTTTAAAGTAATTAATTGTATACAGTATCTTCTTTTGCATTTTATAAATTTATTTTATTATTAATTTATTAAAAATTTTTTTTAATAGTTTAATTTTTTTGTTTCTTTAATTAGATCATTTTTTATTAATTTTATATAAAAGTTATATATATTTAACTAGTTTTAGAAGTTTGTTCAATGAATCTAGAAATCACTTATCTATTTTATTTAATTAAGTAATACATAAAAAGTACAATATTAAAATAATATATTATAGAATAAACAATATAATTTAACTTAGTTTGTTTTTTTTATCTTTTATCAGATTAATTATATATATTTTATTAAACAACTTGTAAATTGTACATACTATATATTATATATCACTAAAGTTAAAACTTTAATCAACTCACTTGTATTAGTTAATTTAACTCTAAATATAACTTTAAAAGTAATTTATTACTTTATTAATAATTTAAATAAAAACTCTTTTAACTATTAATTTCATTGTCTGCAAATTACTATTATAGATTATTCAATAAGTTTTAACAATAATTATAATCCAACTATTTTATTTCATATTTTATTTTTTTTTATTAAAATCTTCTTTAAATTTCATTTTTTAAGCTTTTTTCTTTATATTCTATTGCTTTAATTCCATAATTTTAATTTTTTTGACTAATAAATTTAATAGTCTTCTTATCTTATCTTTTTTACTAATCATCTATACTTGCTCCTATTTAATTATTTTTTTATATTACAGGTTTTAAATCTTCTTTTGAATATAATAGTTAATTTTTCTTTATATTTTTATTATTCATTTTTTTATCATTTTTTCAATGTTTTTCTTGATATTTTAGTTCTACTATTTCTTCCAATAATATAATTTAATTTAGTAATCTTATTTTTTTTTTTTTTATTATAATCCTCTGTCAGGCTAGTTATATGTGCTTTATTAAACAATTGTAAGCTGTACATTATACATGTGACGCTAAAGCTAATTCTCTAACTAACTCACTCGTCAAAGTCTTATATTTATCTAAGACTCTAAGTGCAACTTCGGGAGTAATTTATCGCTCCGCTAGTAGTTCAGGTGAAAACCCTTCCAACTTCTAACATTATTGCCCGCAGGTCACTACTGTGTATCAAATATTATAAAATTCATATATACAGTATATACTATATATATACATATTTTTTTTAAATCTACAATCATGCCACAATAGTTTGTTTTTATTGAAAAATTGGAATAAATTTATAATATTTTACAGACTTTTACAAAGTAACTAACTCATCTTAATATAAAAGTACTTTAAGTTAGATTTTGATAACAATATTACAATTCTCTAATAGATTGGTAATAATCTCTATCTACCAAAATTATTGTTAAGAGTTTGTCACTATTGATTGTTCAAAAATCAATGAATTGCTAAGTTAAAAAAAAAGAGGAAAAATGATTGAGAAAAGGGACAATTCAAGGCTTACCAAAAATTTTTAAAATAAAAATAACCTTTTCTCAAAAAGGATTTGCCTAATTGGGATAGTCTTCTTGCTTCACTTGAACCTCAGAAGAAATCTTTTTTTATATTACCTGTGGTATCAAATAAGCCAATCTAATTGGTCTTTCATTTAAATAAGCATTGGATTGGGATATCTTAAGGAAACCATTTAAATCTCAGCTTTTTTCCATTAAAGCTTTGTTACCACTTGAGGAATTTAGATAAGAGATAGGAGTTTACAATCCATATTATTTATCACTTGGTCTTTTGGTATCATGAAAGTTTTTATTAAGGGATTTGAGCTTTTTGGAACAAATGTTTCCAGAATCTTCTTTCTAATCACTAATAATGTCATTAGAACACATGAATATAACCAATAGGAGCTTGTTTATATTTCAAAAACTAATATATTTTATGTCAGCCAATCACCTTTGATAAGGATTTATACTATCCAAAATTCAGGGTCAAACTGAGGGAGACAAAATTTCCCAGAAAACTATGAAAGTTATAGCTCTAAGAGGCCAACAAGTAGCTGAAAAAGGAAAAATAAGTTCTTCTATCATCAAAAACCTCTATATACCTCTTGCTTCAAAGATTATATAGGCCTTCAGATACTTTACAGTCAGTTTTTTTTCTTTGGGAACATTCAATTATATCCTTTATTTACTATAAAAAATGTTTACATATAATATAATTACATAATAAATGTATTACAAGATATATACAAACTAGCGACCTGTGGATCAATAACACAGTGGTAATGCTCTCAGGTCGCAATCACAAGGTCCAGAGTTCAATACCATATGGGGACCAAGTGAAAAATACCACATCACAATGAATTCAGTACTCCATTGGATAACAGTAAAATGTTATTGAGCATAGACCTGGGCATTTTACCAATAGTCGAAATGGAAGAATCCGTCACCACACAATGTTACTAGTAGCTGATCTTACCAGATCAGATCAGTCTACAGGTGTTGTGAGACGATCAGTATCTTATCAGTACTCTGATAAGGTGGAAGAGGACAGGACTGATCCCGTGGTCAACCGGAATGAAGACTGGATGGGCACCAAGTATTTTGACAATCTTACTAACTGCAAGAAGTTGCCAAGTCAAGAAGGTTGAAGTTCTGAAGAAAATAAAATTTGTACCGGTGAAATGCTTAAAAGTATGGTCAAACTTGCCTGTAACGAACTATCGGAAGATCTTGGTGGGAGGAGGAATCCGTAAACCATGCTGAAGTCCCAAATCTGAGGATAGGTTAGAGTATATGCAATGGTCTGATAACTAGATTACTCTATAAAATTGTTCTAGGAAAAATTAAGAGAGCATCGTGTGGTTTCCCTTAATAGGACTAGTTAGTATATATAGTATGTAATACATTTACCATGTATAAATCATCATATGTATAACATTATTTCATAGTAAATA